GTTCAGCAGTAAACAAAACAAAAGTTGAATAAACAATGATTCCACGCTGGGAACTTGCTTTCATCCAGTGAGTTTCCCAGTTACAATACGGAATACGAAGGCTGGAGGAAGTGCCTGGATTTGGGTTTGGGGAGTGCCATCATGCCCAGCTTCCCAGCAGCTCCCTGGGATGCAGAGCTGGGGCCAAAGGGGGCTGCAGCCTTTGAGCTGGGAGGCCTCTTGGTCCTTCTGTACCTGCTGTAGCCACTGCAAAAAACAGGGAGAAGGTGTGGGTCACCCACCTGTGTCACCTGCCCTGTCACCCAGGCTGCACTCACACACACACACCATTACATGTGCCAGAAGAATATGTGTTACTTGTATGATATTTGAAATACACATGGCTGAAAAACTACCTCTGCAATGCAAACCAAGTGCAGCTGTTCTCTGGGATATGCCCAAGGACATATCCCTTAGACAGGGAGAGGGAATGCTGATCCAACCCAACTACACTTGACCCAATCAGAGCATCAACACTAAGTGATGCTTCAGGGTCAACAGCAGTTAATGATGAGCACTTCAGCAGATAGGAAGATGCAAAAAGTGGCACAAAACCTGCTGAGCTAGGGGTGGCCATTTGCCACAAAAAACAAAGAGCAGAATGGAGGGAAACAGGGAGATGCTTGGAAAGTGGTAGATTTGCCCTAGAAGCCACAGACCAACCAGACTCCTGGGTCCAAACACGCAGGTGTTGCCTTGTATGGTACAATCAGAGGGAGAACTTCAATTAACAAGGGACTGAAGTTCAAATACTCCATCAAATCTTTAGTTTTAAGCCCTCTTTATGATTCGAAACTGAAATCTGGTCAGCCTGCTGATCGTGGTTATGACACTGAAATTCAGTGTCCCTGCTTAGCTTATGGCAGTCAAGGGCGACAACAACTGTTAAATATCCTTCCTCACCAGCTCTTTAAGCCAGAATGCAGAAAACCAAAGTGGGGAATTTGTTACCAGGTTCCTGGTTAATTTTAACACCACTATTTAAGCCCAGAAACAGCAGTGGGATAACTGCAATCCTGTGATCATCATCATGCTGGTCTGGCCAAAGAGAAGTGACCACAGGGACATACCCTCTGGGGTGGAACTGTTGGCTGCCACCCGCACTGGTCTTTTTCCTCTTGGAGTCTCTGGCATTTGGTGGCCGTTTCCTCTTTCTCCTTTGGTTCGTGTTGTTGCCAAAGTAGCTGGAGGTTGTGCCTGCATCCTCTGCTTCCCCATCGCTCCCAGGTGTGCTGGTGCTCCCCAGGGCTGTGTCTGCACTGGGGCAGGCAGTGTCTTCTACAGACAGACAAAGAGGTAAAACTAAAAGTATCACCTGGGTCATACTGTCACCAGAACACACTGATGTACCAAAATACCTGTTCTGGCTGTTCCACACCTCCCCTGCACTGCCCTCACCCTGAGACTTTCAGACACACTGAATTTAGCTAGTGGAAGGTGGCAAAGACCTTGGTGAGTTCTGAGAGTGTGGGATTGCTCCCTTTTGTAACTGTTAGCCTTTAAGAATTAGCTATTTGGACTAAAAAGGTAGCTTTTGGTTCAGACATCTGCTAGAGGAGAGAAGGGCACTGAGCAGGGGAGTACACTGGGGTACAAAGCACACTGTACCTGGGATGGACTGTTCTGAGTACTTATCCATCACTTTGATTATTTCTGCACCATATTTCTCCAGTTTGTCCTCTGTGACACCATCAATCTGCAGCAAAACCTCCACATCTGAGGACAAGGTTTCTGTAAGGTAACAAAGCCCCTGTTAGACACGTCCAACAAATAACTGGTAGTTAGCAAGAGATCCTGGAGAAAATTAATCCCTCTCAGTGCCCCCTGTGAAGAAGCCCTGAGGGACTTTCCAGCACCCTGCCCTTACCCGCTATTTTCTTCAGGGTGGAAGTACTGAAAATGTTGAAGTAATGCACATCAAAGACTTTGCCCAGCGTCTTGCAGGTGTCTGTGAGCTCACTGAGGCACTGTTTAACCATCTCCTCCCGCCGGGACATCTTTGCCATGGAAGCCCTTTGCCTTCTGATGGCACTGGCATTCTCTGTCTCGTGGAACTGCACCTGTTGAAATGATAACTCCTGTCAGGGAGTTCCTACTGAGGTTGCTTGATAACACAGGAACACAGCAAAGGAAACGGAAAGTATATTTTGATGGATCAATTAAAGCTGTTTACCCAGTATACACTTTTAAAATCATTTTTAACAGGCTATTCATCAGCCCCTAAGTTACTTCTACAAAGGTCTGGGACAGTTTAGACAGAGGGAAAAGCTCCTCAGAGCCCAGTTCATGGCTGGCTTCAAACTGAGGTCATTGCGGTAACACTGAGGGCTCTGATCCACTCCAAACACAGCACTAAAGCAGAGGAACAGCTCCCTCAAGCAATCTGGGACTGTTCCATGACCTTCCTGAAGTGAACCTTCCATCAGAGCTCACCAGTGACTGGGAAAAATAGAGCAGAAAATGCAGGAGAAGGGAGTGCTGGTCCTTCTTAACCAGCTTTTTGTGCTGGTCATAACCTCCCTTCCTTCTCCAGCTGGAATCAGGTGGATGGGGGAGAAAGCTCTCCAAGCCTCTCAAACTCACCTTTTGCCTCAGAAAATTATTACTGGAATACTGGACTAGGAAGCACACTTGTTGGATTCTGTTCCCTGCACCTGCAAAAGGTTAGTTCCCGCCCTTCAGCTGAGGGCAGAATGTGTTTAAGCTATCCCAGGGGACATGCTACAGGAAAACTGCAGCACATACCTTATAACAATACCCTCAGGAAAACACATCACACCAGTTACACACCTGGAGGGACCCATCTAGCACAGCCTGAGCCTTCTCTCCCAGGATGACGTATGCCACTGCCTGGTCATTAGCTGTGATGTATAAGTCTTCATCCAGGATCTTGTCCAGCACCAGTTTTCTGAACAGCCTTTCAGCATTGTGCCTGGAGTAGGCAGCTCCCTTCCCAAATATTCCAGTCTGAATCTTGGCACTGGTTGCACCTGTGCAACATAAAGCACAGGATGAGAAATCAGAAAGCCCATGTACATGTGGGAGATTTTTCCAAGGGAATTCCATAGACTATGCACATAAGAAAATACATTTGAGCACCAGGAATTGCAAGCATCACCAGAAAACTAATATCATCACTATAACAACCTGGAAGGGCTTAAATCTTCAGTCTCATTCATTTGGGATCATCTACCACCCAGAGATTCCTCAGAAGATTAATTTTGCAAAGTATATTTTAGAGAATCATGGAATGGTTTGGCTTGGGAGAGACTTTAAAGCTTGTCCAGTCTCACCCCCTGCCCTGGGCAGGGACACCTCCCACCAGCCCAGGTTGCTCCAAGCCCCATCCAACCTGGCCTGGAACACTCCCAGGGATGGAGCAGCCACAGCTGCTCTGGGCAACCTGTGCCAGTGCCTCAGCACCTCACAGGGAAGAGTTTACACTTCTGGCAATGCAGAGCCCTCCTGATTCCTAGCCAGGGATTTGTTCAGGTGTTTCAGGGAGGACAGACTCACCTAAGAAAATGTCCACCATCATGTTCAGGGTGTACCTGCCCAAGCCTGCGTTCCTCTTCCTGTTGAGCTGCCCCACGGCCCCGCAGTGCTCCCGCACGAACCGCACGATGCTCCTCACATCCTCAGTCACATCCCTGGACTTATAGTCCTGGTAAATCAGACTTGGTTAGGGAATGGCACTCTGTGTTTGTGCCCCAATGCAAGTTGTTACTGACAACCTCAGTTTCTGCTATTGTGTTTTTCCCAGCTGTGAGTTCAGTTAGTTGCAAACAGAGGAACAGTATCTCCCCACAGGGATACAGTCACAGGGGTTCTCGATGTGGTAATGCCCTGGAAAATGCAATGACAGCCCAACTGCTTGCATATAATCTCCACTGTGTTATTTGTATAGAGGTGCCAGGCTGTTGGGTAAATATAGGCAATTAAGGTGAATCGTTGGGAAAGCATTCCTGTAGTTATCCTGCTGCCATGCCCCTAGAAGTTACAGTTCCAACAGGCATTCAGATGAGAAAACTGGACTGAATATACATTCTTATGGTCAAATTTGGTTCCAAGGACAGCTATGTGAGGGAATGCTTCAAACAGGGCTGAGAAACAATATCCACAGGTACAAAAGTGATCAGGAACCCTTCCCTGCCTGCCTGACAGCTGTCTTCCCTTCTGCTCCTGCCCACACCACTAAGTTGGCTTCAGGCCTGGATGTACAGCCCCAAATCTTTGGGCCACCTCCAGCAGTGCACACCTGATGTGGCACTTGTGCTGCTCTGGCAGCACAAAGCTGCCCTGAAAACACCAGAAGAGGCAGTAAAGGGATTTCCCTGTAGCCATTCCAGTGGATCTGATATGAGCTCCTGCCTCTCACAAGCACTGTAGCCAAGAAAATTGACACTAAGGAACATCCCTGTGCCTCTGACAGGAACAGGAGCACCACAAGTCCATGGGCATAATTCCACTCAAGGTTAAACCCTGGAAAATACTGGAAGCATCACAGCAATACAGGATATTGATTCCCTTTCTTCATTTGCCGTCCCAGAGGTCATGTGACCACTTTTTGATACAGCCAAATGCAAAATCAGTCTGACAGCACTTCAAATTAGAGCTGTGGGCTTTACCTTCTTCCTACTGCAGTTGTCACAGATGACTTCTGGGTGGTCCTTGCAGAAGGTGGGGTTGAAGTTGGTTTCCCCGAAGTAGGCGAGCAGCTGGATGCGGCGGCAGTCCACCACGTTCTCGCAGTAGTGCACCATGCTGTACAGGTTGTTGAAGTGGGTCTGCCTGGTGTGGCTGTTCCCATCCTTCTCCACTGAAACACAGTAAATTCCATTCTATCTGCACCTCTGCATTTTTATAGACTGTCAGACACAAACCACAGTACTCATAGTTGTCTAGAAAAAGGTGAGTAGGTTGGTACAGAACTGACCTAGGACGGGTTTTACCTCTATAGCTTTAAAGAATGGAGAAGGGAAATAAGCTTGGAATGACAAGAGTCAGGAGATGGATATGTATTACAGGAAGAGAGGAAATGGCCTCAAGTCAGGGGAGGTTTAACTTAGATATCAGGAACAATTTTTCATGGCAAGGGTTGTCCAGCCCAGCACAGGCTGGAGGTGGAGTCACCATCCCTGAAAGTGTTCTAAACCCATGTGGATGTGGCACCTGGGGACATGGTTAGTGGTGAACGTGGTGGTGGGGCTGCCTGGTGATTGGACTTGGTGTTCTTTAAGGTCTTTTCCAGCCTTAACTATCCTGTGAAGCAAAGTGGTTTTGACTTAAATTTAAGTGACAAAAACCCTTAGAGAAAACCATTTAGGGAAAGGTGCCCACTTCTCCTCTCTTTGCAACACTGAACTATCAATGGCACTTGTAAGGGAAATAACACAGCCTGAGGGAAACCAGCAGCTAAGGGACTGCTGTGATATCATCTCCAAGTCACAAGAGCAGAACTCACTGAGGATGAGCCTCCTCAGCCTGGTGACATCGCTGTAGCTGTAGAAGAGCAGGCAGTGAGACATCTCTCCATCCCGTCCAGCTCTGCCAGACTCCTGGTAGTAACCTTCAATGGATTTGGGCAGGGATGCGTGGATGACGTAGCGCACGTCGGGCTTATCAATGCCCATTCCAAAGGCAATCGTGGCACATATCACCTGGGAAGGAGATGATCATGTTCTACACATGTTATAGCAAATAGTCCTTTGCACTGTATGCAAAGCAGACAGTGACGGGGATTAGGAAAACTGAAGAACTCAGGCTGTCAATTATAATGCTGCAAGGTGAGTACAAAACAGCATAACTTCCTCTTCTGTCACAGGAGCTACTCCAAACACAGGGAAACCCCATAATTCCAGGCTCTGTACAGTCCAGCAGCTGTTTCTGAAGCTGTGCACTGCTCAGGTGCTCCCTCCTGGAGCAGCACACCTTGGTGCAGAGCTGCAGCCTTTGATTCATCAAACTCCTAACAAAAAGGTGCTGCTGTGTCCTGGCAGATCGACTGGGATCAGCTGTTTGACACTGCAGCCCATTTGGTGATAACACTGCACAGCTTCACTTTCATTTACCAGGTCAAGAGGGATAACAGTGCCCAGATTCTCTTCCCTTTCCCCCCAGTTTCCTGTACCTGGCATCCCTCCTGGTTGACCCACTTCTGCTGCACGAGGTCCCTGCTGGAGTCAGTGAGGCCGGCATGGTAGGCCAGGGCAGCCAGCCCCTCTTTCTGCAGGATGGCTGCTGTGGTGTCACATTCGTGCCGGGAGAGGCAATAAATGATCCCAGAGTCATCTGCAAACAAAGGGGAAGGGGGAGGGGGGGAGATCTGAGCTACAAACAGCTTCATTCCCTTTCATTTGCTCAGTAGTCAAACCTGCCAAGCAGATATTGGCAGGTTGGAATATTCCCTATTGGAATAAGTCTAAGTGTAATGCTATAACTGCTTAACTATAGAACTTAATTTGTTA